CCTTATTAGTTGGAGGCTAAATGAAAAAAAAAAAGAAAAAAAGAAGCTACAAGGATGTATTGTATAATACAGGTAATACAGCCAATGTTTCATAATAAATATACTTGAAATGTAACCTTTAAAAATTGTGAATCACTATATTGTTCACCTGTAACATAATTGTGTAGCAATAATACCTCCTTAAAAATGAAAAATAATAAAAATTAGAAATATTAAAAAAAAAAAAAAAGAATTGATGCCTTAGAACTGTGTGTTGGAGAAGACTCCTGAAAGTCCCTTGGACAGCAAGGAGACCAAACCAGTCAATGTTAAGGGAGATCAACCCTGAATATTCACTGAAAGGACTGATGCTGAAGCTGAAACTCCAGTATTTTGGTTGTCTGATGTGAACAGCTGACTCATTGGAAAAGTCCCTGATGCTGGGAAAGATTGAGGGCAGAAGGAGAAGAGGGCATCAGAGGATGAGATGGCGGATGGCATCACCGATGAAATGGACAACGAACTTGGGCAAACTTCAGGAGATGGTGAAGGACAGAGAGGCCTGGCCTGCTGCAGTCCATGGGATCACAAAGAGTTGGACATGATCGGGTGACTGAACAACATCAAAATGAGTTAATATACGTACAATGCATACAGCATTACCTAGCACATAATAAGTGCTATGTATATGCTGACTAGCATAACCAGCTATTTGTCCATTAGACTTTCCACATTCACTAAAAATAACTCTCATATCTTGAATATGAAGTGAATAGAAGCATGATGATTAGGAATAAGTGGTTTACCATGTATATCCTTTTAACCCAACTCAGGTAACCCTATCTTTTCCAACGTTATGCATGCTTTGGTCACTCACAAAGTTTACTACAGGAGAAATGAGGAGGGTCAAAGGAGAAAGTGGCAACTCACCCCAGTGTTCTTGCCTGAGACATCTTGTGGACAGAGGAGCCTGGTGGGCTACAGTCCATGGGGTCACCAAGAGTCGGACACGATGGAGCACTCGTGCATACGCGCAGGGGAGAAGCAGGATTAAAGTATCCACCTCTCTTTTAAAAATGTCATTCCCCAGAATTAAATTACTTCATGTTTGGGCCATTTAAAGTAGAATTTTAGGTTATATTCTTGGCCCAACTATTTATCACTGTGACACCTGGAGATAACTCCAGTTTCCACCCAGTTAAAATATGCAATTTTCCCTCAAATTTTCTAGGGTATTCCTTTTTTTTCTTCCTACATGGAGACTTTTCCAAAGATATTCATTATAAGTAAGAGGCCTTCCTCTGACTAACTCCTAATTACTGGCAGATTCACATCCCCAAGTGTTTAAAGTAATTTTGAGAAGAGAAAAAAGAGATAAGCCTTTGCATGCTTCAAGAAATTTTGAATTCTCAGAATGCCGATTACCTAATTTTCTCAGTTCTACCTGAGGTATGTGAAAAAAATGAAACTCCACTTCCATTTACTTCATGACTTACCTTGCAGTTACATGAAGAGAAAATTCTAAATTAAACATCTTCATTCACTGCTCTGCCTTTTGAGCCTCTTTTTGTCCATTTAGTCACTAAAACATACTTCTAAAAATTGGGAACAGAGAACTAACTTTGTGATTCAGTATTTTCTCATGAATTGTAGCACAGACATTTCTTTGCCCTTTTTCTTAAAGAAAACATCAAATTTAAATTCCGCTGAGCATGTCTTCCTACGTCTTAATTTTAGGCTGACACATTGGACCGCTTCCTACCAATACCAACAGAGGGCACAGCACGTTCAGAGATGAGCAGTGGGACACACCGCACATCCTGGGTGTCCTCCCCACAACCCCAGTCAGCGCTGAACCGAGACCGGCGGCCCTGCCTCTGACCACGGCTAGTCACCCTCCACTGAGGGTCAGGACTCTGAGTCACTCGTCACATTCCCGCGCCTGCACTCCACCGCAGGAAAGACAGCGAGTATAAGGCCAAGCAGGTCAACATAAGAGGGAGCTTTCAAACAAGTTTTGTGTTATTTTTACTTTTTTTTCTTTATCTTCTACTTTAGTCACTGAATATGGGTGACTTGGTTGGTCAACACGACACACGCAGACCATGAACACGTACTTATACAGACTCATTTGTGGGACTGTTCAAGACCTCATCTGAAAGACCAATAGAGAACAAAACCAGAGAACAGAAGTGAGAAACAGGTTTCCAGTGAGTCAGGGAACACACAAGAAGGAAAAAGGGTATAACAGTATTTTTAAAAGTTTCTCATTAGAGAGTTCTGCAAAGACTAATCAGCTCTCATCAAACCAATTTCTTCTTCCTTCTAGGCACACAGCTGAATAGTGGTCCCTGGCTGCCCTGACGATTAGATGCGACCACCGGAGTTCTGCATGAGGGAAGGTGGGTAGAAGTCATACCCCCACTTCCAGGCCTCGCGCACATGAAATATTCTTACACCTCGCTTCTCTATCTCTTTGTCATCTGCCTATTGAAATCAACCCCCAGGGTGACATTGGCTGTCTGGCTGGGTAATAGCCATGTTATCTATCATCCTAGTCTCTGAAAGACGGTGTCTTATATACACGTTCCCCGACTGATGATCAGAAACACCAGGAAGGGTTTTACATGAAGGAGAAATTAACTTCTTTGTGTTAAGTTGCTGAGATTTTGAAATTTCTCTGCTACAGAAGTTAGTTACCTAATATAGCTCCTGAATATGGGTATGCTGGTAAAATATATTACTATAAGCAGAACTCAGTTTAAAAAAAAAAAAGCCTTCAAAACCCACTTATCTAAGAATGTATATACACACACTCACATATATATGTACATATATTACTATTCATTTATTGAATAAATGAACACATAAAAATATAAAAAAACTAACATGTGAACAATACATGGGCTGGTACTGTGTCTGTATGTTCACCACTGAACACATAGTGTCTAGAATGTTGCTTTACACATAGGAAGAACTCAACAAATTTGTCTAATATATACATACATAGTCCATCTCATGATCTCTCTTCTCTATTATTTTCCCAGGATCACCTCTCACAGTTTCAACCATCTCCTATACGAGGTCATACCCCATGATTATTAGGTTATTAGTCATCAGGTTAATGACTTTACTGATAAAAATCTAATTGTGATGACAAGGATAATTTACTGAACACTTACATTGTGAAAGACTCTGTGCTTAAGGACAGCTTGTGGGTTTTTCTTCATTCCTAACAATTTAATGAAGATTCTGCAATTCTGTCTTTATTACAGAGAGGGATTTGGATAAATTAAGCTCTCGAGGAGATCACAGACAGCACATGTTAGAAACAGACTTAATTTAGACGCTATGACTCCAGTGGCAACTCAACTACCTCCTACCCTAATTAACAATAACCTGTCTCCCTAATTCTAGCTCCTTAGAAGCTCAAAGAAGGTGGCCACCAGGAGTGCGCTGCCAGGTATCAGGATATCAAAGCAGAGCTTTGAGTCTGATCAAAAGCTCTTTTGTACTTTTTAAGGTCTTGTCCCCATTCACACAAGTTTTTCATGAATGAAGTCAGGAAAGGTTACTTGTATAAAGAATGACTTCTGAGACTAGTCCTCTCAGAAGCATAAGGACAAAGAATAGGTCAAAACCCAGATTCGCATGAAAAATATAGATAAAGTTAATTGGAAAGTTTTTCCTTGTGTTACAGAGCCTGGGTTTTAAAGTCAGATGTATCTGAGGTCCAATGCCATTTTAGGCTTTCCTTAGCTTTAATACAGGCTTCCCTGGTAGCTCAGACGGTAAAGCGTCTGCCTACAATGCGGGAGACCCGGGTTCAATCCCTGGGTCGGGAAGATCTCCTGGAGAAGGAAATGGCAACCCACTCCAGTATTCTTGCCTGGAAAATCCCATGGACTGAGAATCCTGGTAGGCTACAGTCCATGGGGTCGCAAAGAGTCGGACACGACTGAGCGACTTCACTTCACTAGCTTTAATACAGTTAAGGCAACTGTGATCAGTTTCCTTATCTGTACAACAGCTGTAAAAATACACACCTCATACGGGTTCTTAGTGGATGGTTGGTTAAATGACAATGTCCTTAATGAACTTAACAAGAGTGAAGTAGGTAATAAGTTTTCCAAGTGGCAACTACAGTCATTAATAGAAGTAGTTTTAATAGAATATCCTATTTCTGCCACTGGGGATCATCCTCAGGTTGAACTAAATATCCCAAATTGCCAAAATACTTTTTGAGAGTTTTATATCACAATATTTTTTTTTTTTAATGTAATAGGAAACAGAAGGAAAATGGGCTAAGATGCCAACAAAAAAGAGAATAAACAGATGGAAACTTTCAAATCTAAAAGTTAGATCAGAGGTGTATAATTAAGAATGCTAGAAAATATGTGTTCTTCAGAGCAGTTACAGGCAGCTTTGACAAGCCCCCCAAAAATCAAGCAGTTCAGTAAAACATGTCTCCTCCCCATGTCCTTCACTACAAAATCTGTTATTTAAGAAGCATGTGAAGATCACTCTGAAAAACACATGGCACATGTGTTTCTCTGAATTAACAATAGAAAAAGTTAATGGATTATAATGAAAAGATTTTAGAGAAATTTTGGATATTTTACTATTCATGAGTGATCAGAGAAGGCTAAATACCCCCAAATAACCTTAGATTTCTCACATTTTCTAACAATTTATTAACTAACCTTATATACTCCCTTCCTGGAGGCTTACCAGGTGGATCACTGGTAGAGAATCTGCCTGCCAATGCAGGAGACACAGTTTCAGTCCCTGGATTAGAAAGATCCCCTGGAGAAGGAAATGGCAACCCACTCCAGTTATTCTTGCCTGGGAAATCTCGTGGACAGAGAAGCCTGGTGGGCTACAATCTGTGGAGTCGCAAGAGTCGGACAGGACTTCGTGACTATACAACAACAACAACAAATCCCTTCCTGTAGCTAATGCATCTCAGAAGACCACCCTCTACACAATTCTGTTGGAGCCGAGGACCCACGGCCACTTACCCACTGTTGATGTCATCGGTCCTGAGACTTTTCCCGAGGATATCACCATCGCTCATGTATCCACCAACGTCAACTTCAGCAGACATGTCCAGGTCACTGCTTGCTTTCTCACTCATGTCAATCTGTGACATGTTTCCCAGTCGAGAGACGGCCGCTCGACGGAGAGGCGTAGTGTACATGAACCTTGAGGGGTCTGTGTGGATGAATCTCCCAGTACCGCTGCGAGGGTAGCCGGCACCCAGCGACGGAGCATCTCCAGCCTGAAGTCGAGGGCACGCCTGGCCCAGCCTCCAGGCCATGGGGGTGGGCCGGCCTGTCAAGTTGGGTATGGTCCTGCCGTTCACTTCTGTTGTTACAGTGCTGTCAAATGTTGTCTCCAGGGTGCTGTCAAATAAAACAGAGAAGTCACTGGACACTGGCTCACCTGGGGCCACCAACCCAGAGTACATGAACACAGGAAGGCTTATAGTTGAGAGTCATTTCTCAGAGTGATGTCCATTTTCATGGAAGTCAAACTATACATTCATTTTGGGATTTCTCAACACCTCTGTAGGTATCAAAATGTAGGAAGGGGCATTCACATAGCTTTTTCTTTTTGCCTTCCAACAAAGGCCACCATTACACTTTAGGTAAAACAATGTTTCATATTCTCAACTAACCCTTAATTTAACTCATTGCAGCCTTCCTGGAACTTTTCTGAAAGTAAACCACAATTAGTTTGAAACTCTCTCTAACATCCCTCCTCAGATGCATTTTAACTACATCTGCCATTGTTATTTAAGGCAGGCATGAAAATCCATTTAGCAGTGATGGTGGGGTAGTTCAGTAGCTATTTCAGTCTGAATGGGAAATTATATGAAGAGATGGATAGGAGTAAAAAACATCACTGGATAGGTGCTGAGAAGTCACCAGTTTATTGTCACATAAAATTTAAGTGAGAAAATAGTAAAGGGAAACTAAAATCCCTTCTTTATCATTATAAGAAGTTAAGCACTTGCTGGCTTTCTTTATTGGCCCCCAAACAGGCAGAACTGAAGAAGACCTGTGGCTTATCTGGGTCCCACGAAGACTGGACATCGTCTCTTCTAAGTTCTGCCTCAAGTCTGCTATGTTTTTAACTGTTCTCATTCTTCTTGTTTCAGGGTCTTCACCTAGAAAAGTAACACAATAATTTGTTATTCATGTCATTTATTGTGTATATGTATATATGAGTTCCTTTTATCAAAACTGAAAAAATAGGTAGACAATTCCAAATAACTATTATCATCTGAAATTATAATTCTTTGTTCTACAAATAAAGTGTGAATAGAAACAAATATAATGTTAAAAGTAATAATTTGAAGTGGTGATAATATAATAATATTTCTTAGGTCTATGAGCTTAACTGTTGCAAAATGAGAATTACTAGCTCCATGTTTCTGAGCTTAATTTAAAAATCTCCAACTATTTGGATCCTAATTATTTCCATAATCGCCTGTTTCAAAGTGTGCTCAGAGAAGCTGAGATAACCTTATGTAGCAAGTATACATTTGGATTTAGGGGAATAAGATGGAGGCCTTTTCTCATAGAAGCAATATCTTTTCAAGACTTTCAACAGACTAATGAACAAAGATTCAGAACTGGATTTGTAATTATTTCTCCACTTTCTACAGGGAACCAAATCATGCACATGTGACACCAAGAGTTCGAACAAAGTCCTAGGCATCTAATTCAGGAACAAGTCTACGCATAAAATAAACAGCTCTGCCAGGGTGACAAATGCTGGCCTTATACAACCTCAGCATATCATTTAGAGGCAGAGGCGGCATTAAGTCAGTTTGTTTATGGCCATGCAATAAAGTCCAGGCCAGTGACCATTTCAAGCTGGTGAATCCGGAAATAAGAAGAACATGGAAAGGGAGGAGAGAAATCATAGTCTCCTTTTTGTTCAATTTAGCTCAGGAGTATATCCAACGATTAGGAATTTTAAATAAAAAGAAAGAAGGAATTTAAAAAAAGGTGAGAGGAAGGGGAATGAATGAATTAAGGAGACAGAGGTATGGGAAGGAGAGGGGGAAAGAAGAAGACAAAGGAGGGGATGGTAGGGAAGGAAGGAAAAGAAAAAAACAAGAAGGAAAAGTAAAGGTAGAAAACAGCATGTATTAAATTCCAGAATAAAGACTGTAACATAAACAAGCCAAAGTCCATATCTAAAATCTGTTTTAAGAATATAGGTAGATAGTCAACCTGTTCACTTTTCTTCCACAATATTCATGCCAGATTTTTAAAAAATACAGAAAAAGTGTACCCATTTAACATCTATATAGCATTTAACATCTATAATAGAAACTTACAGTTGGTGGGGACTTCAGAGATTCTCTGGCTTACCTATCAGCCAATGAAGGAACAAATCTTTGTCTCATTAGCCAGGTGGCCATGGATATCTATCTGAAACCTCTAAGATTAGAAAGACTTCCTCTTCTCCAGTAAGAACGGATTCTTTCCAATAGTAGACTAATTAGATCTAATTATAAAAACAACTCTGAGGATGAGTAATAATTTGTCTACATTTAACTTCCACCCAGGGATCCCAATAACTCTGAAACCAATGGAACAACTTTACACTACTTTACCATGGTGGCCCCTCAAAAAGACAACTGCTAATTCCCTGTTCAGCCAAATATTACTACCTTGTTCGTTTTTCTTCCTCCTGGATGGTTGTCAAAGCAACCACTACTCTTCTGCCAGTCTGCAAATCTCTTCCTTTTAATTTACAAATTATTTGAGTTGTTGAAATATGATTAATAACTGTATTATTATTTTAAACTTAGAAAATATTGAAAAACCTCCCTAATTAACTATACAGAAGATGCATGCAGGTGTACACACACACACAGGAATATTACTCAGTCATAAAAAGAATGAAATAATGCCATTTGCAGCAACATGAATGAACTTAGAAATTATCATACTATGTGAAGTAAATCATACAGAGAAAGACAAATATCATATGATACCACTTATATGTGGAATATAAAAGAAATGATACAAATAACTTATTTACAAAACAGAAGCTGACATAGAAAGCAAACTTGTGGTTAGCAAATGGGAAAGGTTGGAGGGGATAAATTGGGAATTTAGGAGTAATATATACACACTACTATATATAAAGTAAACAAGGATCTATCGTATAGCACAGGGAACTTCACTCAATATTTAGTAACAACCTATATGGGAAAAGAATCTGAAAAAAACTATTTAAGTATGCATGTTTTATATATATATATATATATATATATATATATATATATATATATAAAACTGAATCACTTTGTTGTACACCTGAAAATAATACATTGTAAATCAACTCTACTTCAATAAAAAAAGAAATTAAAAAGTCACCCATTGTATCCTCATGCACATGGCATAAACTTTTCCAATCCTAATCCATGTGATTTCTAACCTAGTAGATTAATATATGTTTAAATATCAGAACTGTATTTAACTTAGCCCTTAACACTCTAATTATACCTTCTCCAGAAATTCTTCCTATCTTCCTTTTCATAAATACAACACAGCATATTTGAGAAATGGTTATAAATAAGTCTATCTCTTATTTCCAAATAATCTGGCAGAACCCTGAGGGAAAAGGAAGGCTTTGTAAGAAAAATCTTAAAGGGTGACTACAGCCATGAAATTAAAAGATGTCTGCTCCTTGGAAAAAAAGTTATGACAAACGTAGACAGTGTATTAAAAAGCAGAGACATTAATTTGCCAAAAAAAGGTCTGTCCAGTCAAAGCTATGGTTTTTCTAGTAGTCATGTGTGGATGTGAGAGTTGGACCATAAAGAAAGCTGAACACTGAAGAATTGATGCTTTAGAACTGTGCTTTAGAAGAGTATTGGAGAAGACTCTTGACAGTCCCTTGGACTGCAAGGAGATTGACTTTAGTCAATCCTAAAGGAAATAATCCTGAATATTCATTGAAAGGACCATTGCTAAAGTTCCAATACTTTGGCCATCTGATGCAGAGACAACTCATTAGAAGAGACCCTGATGCCAGGAAAGACTGAAGGCAAAAGGAGGAGGGGACGACAGAGGGAGAGATGGATAAATAGCATCACTGACTCAATGGACATGAGTTTGAGTAAACTCTGGGAGATGGTGAAGGACAGGGAGGCCTGGTGTGCTGCGGACCATGGGGTCACAAAGCATCAGATACACCTGAGCAACTGAATAACAACAGAAAAAAAATATCATTACAGTCAAAGGAACAGCAGAGGTAAAGACAGGGATTTACTAAAAGTGGCAGAAAAAAAGTAATAGTGAAGGACGAGACCAAACTGGAGACACACCAACGTTAATACTAGCGTGGTGGTATATCTAACACGTCATACAGTAGAGAAGCCGATGATTCTAAGTGACAGTAAGAGATGAAGAGTCTTAAAGAGGAAAGTGTTGAGATGACTTTTACTGGAGGGAGTAAAGAAAGACAATATTGCCCTTGTACAAGTTCCCCAAAATACACCTTTGCATGTGCCCTGTCACCAAGTCCTTTCCCTCAGGGAGAACTTTCATACTGCAATTAAATTAATTTCTTAATATTAAAAACCTGCCAATTTATTAATATTAAAAACACTGATATTGGAATTACTTTCAACATATTTTACATAAACTTTAAGAACACTGTACTTTCAGACATTTCATTTTCACTCAGCATTTTTTTAAGCATCTTTACCACATTTTAAGTTTCCTTCATCCAATCCAACAGCCATCTTAAGTGCTTGGACTCTTCCCATTGAATCCATTGCTTGTTTACACAGCTTCCCTCATGTTTCAGAACCATCACCTCGCTCCCTCCTCTGGTTTTTCTCCTCATGACATCCACTCATGACACTGCACCACTCATAACCACCAGACAAATGGACATTTTCCCCCTAGCACTTACTGAAGAGAACATAATCGCTGCCTCATTCATGTCAGGAAAGATAATAACCAAACCAAAATTTATTGCAGTAAATATTCTCAATGACCCACAAAAGGCAAGATAAAGTTAAATGTACTTGCAAACCCCCTAAGGATGGCACAAGTTTGAAACAGCTTGTAAATTTGTATCCAAGTGATGTCTAGAGAAACAGTGGTGGGGAGAGAATGTTAACCTAAAAGGTCAAATATAAAAGCACAAATAATATTAAATATTTAGTAACAAAAATAAGAAGAAAATGTATTTAGTGAGAAACGTATTTAGTCACAAAAATGTATTCCCTTTCACTTTTATAACCTTAAATCTAGCTATTATTCCAGAAGCCTCCTAAGTGTCAGACAAAATAGTAAAGGCTTATACACACATTTTCCCAAAGGCCATATTCTGAAATTCACTTTGAGTCTTCAACATTAGTGTGAACTATTTTCTCTTTGCTGGGAACATCTCTTCTCTGAGCAGGGCACAGAATAACAGGCTCAGTCTGCTGCTTCTGCATTTTTACTTAATGGCAGACAGACCATTTAAACTTTGTGGTCCTGCTCTTATTTTTCAGGCTTTAATTACATGCATTGTAATTAACACTACCAGTCCTGTTATCTTTTAGGAGGAAAACAAATAATATATGAATGAACTTCATTCACAGAGAATTATATCTTCTACAGTAGCCATATTACAAATGTTATTTTTTAGAGTTTAGCTGTCTGATTTATTTGGAGAAATTACCCTAGTTTTATGGATTACCCCCAACACAGGGAGTTGGATACAAAATTTTTCAACTCATCAGGGTAAACCAGACACTTTTGGGGGCAAAAATAACATAATATAGCTAGCAGTTTTACTAGTTACCTTTTAAATATTCTCCTATGTAGTTATAACACAAACCCTAGCCTGTCTGATTTATTAGAAGATATAAGACTAAAGAGTTGAACTCAGGGAACTCTGACTAAAAACTAACTTGGAAGAGGCCATTTTGAGTCAGAAGCAGAACCCAGTTAAGCACGTGGCAGAAATCCTGAAATTCCTGTGTGCTATGGGCTTGGATATATTTACCAACTTAAAATGCATCATTACTTAGGGAATTGCCTTGCAATGCTTCATTATCCTGATATGATTATTCATATCAGAGCTATTTGAATAAACTCTTCCTCTTACTTTCTCATCTGCATTTTTGAATACTGGCATCTGCTG